AGAGAGAGAGAGAGAGAGAGAGAGAGAGAGAGAGAGAGAGAGTTCTGCGCCGGGGCCGACATGAATAAAACATGAAGCGCGAAGCGCCTTCCCTAATTGCGTGGACCGTTTAAATGCTCGACTAAGAGTGGTGCTCCTTTTCGGCGTTACGCCGAGGATAGGTATAGTTATATATACGGGCGGGGTGTATTCTTCTCTCAAATTGCAGATTAGGAATCGCCGCGTGAAACGCTCTCTCGCAGACTCGGCGCAAGTTACACTCTCGGCACGTCGATATCTCACGGAAAGAGGATCGGAGGAGGACGACGACAATTGCGCCGACGATAGCACGACTGTCGATTATGCGAGGCACTTGCCGCGATAAAATAAGACACCACTTGCGACGAAATGGCACAATAAACCGCGTTATTACGGCGCGGGATGATTATAATAATCTCTCCCGATAATGAGGAATATAAATAGAGCTATTTACGATGAGTACGCATCATCGAGGAATCGCGTCGCGGCTCCACGAGGTGCTAATAATCGGGCCTCGTGCGTTCGTCATTAACCGAGCACGATAACACGGCTGCGTGCGTTCTCCACGGCCGCGCCGCGCCGGTGCGGCTGATCGCGGTTATAATGGCTGTTTTCGCGAGATTTACAACCTGCGTGGCGGAGGCGCCTCTTTATCGTTAACAACCGGCTCGTTCGGGATGATTAGCCAAGGGTGGAGTAGCAGTGACAAGACGCCATTCCACACCACAGCCTTCTTTCGCCACGAGAAAACGAGATCAGATCGCACCCTCAGAAAGGACTTCTGTTACCGAGACAAAAAATATTCTTCACGCATTTATATTTCTCACAACCTCGTTTAGTATAAAAATAAAACAGTATCAAAATGAAATCAATAATTCTCATTCTCCTCTATTGAATTAAAAAGATAATATATTAAGACAAGAGTAACTTATATAAATGTAAGCTAATATATTCTTGCGTTTAGAATAAATTTTCCCTTCATTTTACAACGCACCAAGTTGGCGCCGCGATATTCGACAAAAAACGATACATACTATCATTTTATTCTAGACTTTAGAATTTTTCTTTTAAGATTAAAATATTCCTTTTTCTATAATAAATATGATTGGCGCTATAGCGATCCTATTTTATGATACATTCAAGTGTGACAGCATTGGATCCGGAAATTTTTTCCGTGGGTGCGGATTTCAATTTTTCCATCGCGAGCAACACTAATTACCCGCCTGCGAATCAGCTTTATAAACAATTGATAAAATTTATAAGACTCTAATGTAAAAACATAAATACCAAGTAATAAAAGAATAAGAGCCAAGGCAGGATGTTAGTGTTTAAATACTTCAGACACTTTTTACTCTTTATTACTTCGTATTTCCAATTTTATGAAGTTTTTTAAAAAGATTCGAGCGCTCTGAGTGGTTCAACGTATGATCACAATAAATATTGATTATTTAGAGAGAAGCTGTGCATTGTTAAATATTTGCAGTAGACATTCGATGTGGGCGAGTAAAGAACTTTTTTCATTTACCGGAAATTTTTTTGTGAATTTATAGCAAATGCCGATCAATGCTATTTATTTAAAACGTTGCCGCAGAGTTTTAATTTCCGCACTTGTGTGGAATATTGATGATAAGGATCCGATCGGAGTGAAATCGAATAATGCGATTTCCACAGAAATGAACAATGAATTAAAACAAATATGTATTGAATCACGTTGAGTGTAATATAGTTTTCCTTGCTCGATAAAGATTACAGGGGAAAATGAGTCCGCGGCATTGAGAAATATTTAAATTGCAAACAATTACAGGCTATTATTTGATGTGTTTGAAAAACTAAGTAATTTCCTTGCGAGATCTCGAGACGCATTACGTAAATATAAATCGTGAAAAAGTATATTTCAAGAATTTAATTCAAAATAAATACCTGAACCTTTTGGAATATTATTTTTTAATAGAAATCCCATCTAAATTACAAAATTCCGCTATCTAAATTAAATGTAAATTCATGCAAACGCGAATTTATTTCCGCGAAGACAATATCCCGCTCCGAGCGTAGTCTCTTTTATACCGTCAAAAATTCGCGGCGATGTCCAGAAGAAGAAAAAAAGGAAAGAAAAACGGTTCGCGGGTTCTATTTATAATGACTTTCCGTGAGTGTCGCGGGGCGAGGAAGGCTCGAGGTGTGTGGTCCCCAAAAAGACGAACCGGTATAATCGTTTTCTCGGCGGTGGGACACGGCGGCGAACCACCGAAAACTCCATGTCGTCCGCTCCGCACGACTGCCACGGACGGATGGCATTAAATCGAGCGAGGCGAGAGGAGGATGGCGTGGCGAACTTAAATTTTCCATCGCGTCAACCCGCCCCGCCGATTCTGCATTCGCCGCGGTATTAACGGGCACGTGACAGCGGGACTGCTCGCTATCTGCGCGCGTTAACGCGCTCGCATTATGCAGACCATCGATCGGGAAGATTGACGGACATCTCGCCGCCACGCCACGCCGCGCCGCGCCTGGCGAGTGGCGGAGCGCACGGCGATCGATGGGAAAAGATTCGCGCGCGATTTCGTACGACAAAGGCACGCCGTCCCGTCAGCCGCGGTCAGAATTTAATTTCGCAGTGAGAAAAAAAGCCGTCGTTATTACCGTTTCGACGATGACGTTGTCGGTCACGGGAAAATTGAATCTGTCACGCGGCGCAATTTTTATCGTGCGTTATCGTTACGAATTGAACGATCGTCGCGCAGAAGAGAAGTTATTTTTCAATCTAATTCAACGGTCTTGGATCCGCGCTACTAGCGTAAACGAAATCTCTCGACTTACGCACTAGTTCGTTAGATTCAGATATCTTTAATTATATAACGTATCAATTCATCTCTTTCGCAAGGTCGTACAGTCTTATTCATTAGTGCCTGAACCACAGTTTTATTAGGACTCACGTATTCATAGTCTTTATTCCCATCTATACACTCGCATTGGCCTCTTTACTGCTAAAAGGGAAATACTGCTAAAAGCGACTCTTTTCAGGCCTATCTGAGGTGAAAATGTTTTCTCCGACACAAAGACCTCAGTTCGACCTCATTGCTACCAATTAAAAAATTATACGAGGCTAAACCGAGGCCAGAATATTCGACTCGGGATGGTCTCGGCCACTTACGAATCGAATCTTTACTGGCACTCGTTATTTTTACTGCAGCTACGAGATGACGCATCCGTACCGCGAGTACATCGCAGAACTAAATAGACCGAGACTATTCCAATCGCGATTATTTTCTCTCGAAAAAGAAAAATATCCCGTCTAATTTTGTACCGAATTGAGGACGTCGTGTTTACTTTTAGAATGCAAATTTAAGCAAAGTTTTAAAAAGAATAGATACAGTACCGGTCAGATCATCTTATAGGTTTTCCGAGCGGAACTTTCGCCAAAGTGCACTGAATATGCTCCAAACTTTACAGTAGACACCTGATAACAGCTGCATCTCGTACACGAAGGGTAATGAAACTTGGCAAAAATACACCATGATTTTCGAATTTTTCATCCGTGCGCCTGAAAACTAGTTACGCTCAGAAAATCGAAAGACGGTTTAATTTTGGCCGGTACTGTAGGTGTTTTATTTTTACAATGGAGTAGACATGAATTAAAAATTTCTCGCATCTTCATAAATGCCGTAATTGAGTTGTTCTCAATTAAAAACGTTTTCGGGCGCATCGTTTTGCGCCGGAAGAGCTGAAAATAAATATCAGAAATTATTTGACCGATTCGTCGTTGGCGAAACATCAGACAGATCAGAGGCTATTTTCGGAGAGCTCTTCGCCTGTGTGTTGCTCGAGGCGTCTCCGTTCCAATCATCCTCTGATGTCTCGAGATGGAGTAAGATCGAAGATGAGGTCCACTTTGGCATCGTTTGACGCGTAAGCGTAATCGGCCGCGACTATAACCGGCGTCTGTCTCTTTTAACCGTCGTGTCTGTACCTTTCTAAATTATAGTGTATCAAGTAATGGCTCTAAGTAAGAGCTATTACGAGCTTGTAAAAATTCGCTAACTCGACGGCTAGGCACGTTCTTTCCGAAGCAAATATCTTGTATCGTGCAGTTTCCTGCCGTTCCTCTATTTAGGAAAATGCTTCGTATCATATTTCCAGCCGTTCGAACGGCAATTGGAACGTGTGCGTCCAAGTACGTGTGCGGAAATAATCATTGCTTATCGTTTCGAAGCTACGGCAACATTAACGAAGTACATTTACAACGTCACGTAAACAATAACAATTAAATATTTCGCTCTCGCGTTGGAAATAAACTCGCGCGCTTAATAGTATGCATCGACGTAATTAGCACGTAATCACAGCCCGCCCGGCAGATAAATTGAAACGCGCGCTATTTTCGTTTCGAACGAAATTACGCGGCGAAAATCGTCTCGTGATTTCTCAGCCCCGTCCAATTTCTCCGGGCGGTATCTCGCTCGCTCTATGTTCCTACTGGCGTCTTAATTGCACCCATTCTAGAAATGCCGTTCAACGGAAACACGAAGAAAAGGAATGGCGGAAACGTGCGAAAGAACTTGCAGCTGCGCGATTCCTGAAAGGAGCATGCGGTACAAAATACAGCGCCGGCCCTTTCATGCCGATTGTACGTCAAAAATTTTTCACTCGATAATTGGAAAAAACGCGCTCCATTAGCTCCCGCGATACGCATCGGCGAAAACTGTTTATTCTTTTATTCGCGGATGATTTATCGCGGCTCGCGGCGCTGCGACTCGGCAATTTTCCATTCTAATTCAAATCTGCGAAATCGCTTTTGTTACATTTGAGGAAAACGAGCCTTTTCTCACGTACCTTTCCCGTCGCCCGCAAAGGAAGAATTTTTAGTTCAACTACAAAATGGCCACCAGGGAACATCGTGCAGCGAATCCTACCTTCTAGTGGAGGACGGTGGGGCAAAATAAAGTGGATGGGAAAACTATTGTGAATCAATAAAGTATAGTTGAATCGCGCAAAAATGGGCTCCATTCGTTCGGCTGCCAGGAGCTACGTAGCCGTCATAATAAACAACTCAATTACGGTATTTACGAAAATACAGCTACAGGCCAGAATTAGATCACCTTTCGATTATTTGAGCATAACAAGTCGTAGTTAATTGACGTGTTTTTGCGCATCAAACCGTCGCAAGTTTTTCTCGTTTTCAGCGTGTTGGTTATTACTTTGTTATTTTATACTGAAGAGAATCCAAAGAAATCAATCAGAGTCAACGTGAAATCAGTCTTTTTGCAGCAGTCAATGACCAAACCGCGAATCATTTATGTATTTTATATTCCCGGTGTTTTCATTCCGGGTGATTTTTCTCCGTGTAACCAACGCATCCCCGTTGTTTTAATTCGCGACGTTTTCAGGATAACGAGAATCCGGGAGTGCGCGCGGAACCTAGCTTCGCGTTATTTTTCCCCCTTTCTCCATTTCTTCTTTTTTTTTCGAACGCGCACCCTCGGTGCGCCCGCGGTGAGCGAGAAAGAAAAATACGCCGTAACCGCGCGGTAATTCGAATCGGGGCGAAGCGCGCTCGTCGGCCTATCATCTCGCGGAATTTCGAAGAAAATGGCGGGGCAATTCCCTCTTTTTTTCCCCCCTTCCCGAGCGCACGGCACAAAGGAGAACACCGCGCCGAGTGCGGTTGCGAACGTCTGCGGCACCTCGCACGCCCGAGGCCGGCCTGTATTAAATTAGATGGTGACGTGCGCGCGGCCGGAGGAGGATCCCGGGCGCGCGCGATGCTGCGGGGGCACAGCGGAGCTCATCAAGACTCGGAGGCCCATTCAGCCGGTCATTGTCTGCGGTAATGGAATGTATTAATATCGGAGAGCCCGCGGGGCCGTCGACCAACGCTCCGTGTATACTACGGCCTGGTGCCGCGCGCACCCGTTCGGTTCTACAACCGCGGTCTGCCGGGCTGGGGGATACGTCCCGTGGGATGGAATACTCGTATAAACCGCCGCTGCACTGCAAACCGCCAGCGAATACCGGGCCCCACGCATTAATATCTAAACGCCGGAGCGCGAGAGCGAGAGGCGGTACCGCCGTCAACCAGAAGCATGGAGAGAGACAGAGAAAGAGAGAGAGAGAGAGAGGGGGGGGGTGAGAGGAGGTAGTTGGCGCACGTACTCTGCCAGTTGCATCTCGTATTCATGCGTTGCACCAGCGGCTACCAGAGGCGTTACACGGCCAACCCTTTTACCACTGGCCAGGTGCAATATTCTTTTTGGTTCAGGTATGATACGTCAAAGGTCCTTTTGTGATAATTGCATTAGAGAACGCGCGGGGCCTCCTGCGAGGCACGCCCGCTGAAGGCGCGCTCTGTTTTGCGCCGTAGTCATTTTGCAAATGTTTGCGCGGGTAAGGGAAAGGGTTGGTTGCGAGGGCGGCGAAGCGCGCCGGGCAAAATGCGGGGGGCCAATGCAGGTGGAAATTAATTTGGAATGAAATTAATTCCGCCGTCGTGCTTCATCGTTTATTAACTATAGGCAAAAAGTTACGTTAAACTCGTTGCGCGCGCGATTACGCGCTCGTGTCTACTGCAGCGTTAACTCGTCGGGATACGCGACGGCGGGAGGTTTTTTTCAAGTTTTCACGGCGGCCGGTAACGTTGTCGTTGTCGTTAAATAATTACGAGCGCAAACAGCGCGATCAAGGGACGTATCGAATAATGACGTGGAAATTATTAACGCGGAACAGAACGCACGGCAGGGACGGCGGTATGTAAATCCCCGATCGGTCGTAAATTCACGTTGAATAATTTTCGTCAGCCGCAATTAAAAATAAATTCGTTTTTAAACCGAGGAATAAACCGGCGCTCCGGGGGAACGATCAATTTAACAGCTCTATAAATATTCATTTCGCGCGCGAGCAAGTGCCAAACGAGGAGCGATATCGCTATCGGAAAGGTACGCGGATTACTTAATTATACGTTGTTGCGCCGCGAATTTATCCTCGCGAGGATAGGCGTTAATTTATAATTAGAGCTTCATAAGCTTTCTCGCGCCCGCCGCGCACGGCGCGCAATTTTTTCGTCTCGCGATAAGAGATGTCGACTAATCTCCGTTAGTCAGTTAGCTAGTCTTCGCGCATAAACGCAGGGGGGGGGGGTTAAAGCTACGCCCGTTAGATTAGAAATAATTACGTTTACGACCGCGTTGCTCTCTTTGTTCGCGCGTCGCAATAACGTCTCTCGCTGTAGACTTACAAACCTGATATTCCGGATTTTACGTAGGTATTAACGAGCAGCCGGGCGATCCCGGTGAGTCTTTAGTGTCGGCGTGTGTGCGCGCGCGCGAGCAAGCGCAAAGCGGAGGCGTCACAATTAACGCGAGACGGTGTGTTCGTTGACACGGAGCCTTCGTTTTTGGTCTTCAGCAGGCCCATAACATAACTGGTAGGTCCACTCCGTCATTTGTTTCGTTTCGCGTCGATCCCTTCTGCGCATCCGACATTTTGTGTACCAAGGCTACACTACCACACATACACCGCTGGATTTGGACCAGAGACATGACGGGATACCACGTGATCGGGACCGAAAAAATCAAAGGGCCGACAGAGAGTGGGCATACTAGTTATATTATGGCTCCTGAAAGTGGAGCGCGATGTTCCAACTCGTTACTCGGCGATAATAAAAACGACACGACCAAAGCGACTTTCTATCGTCTTTATGAATATTCCGCCCGGTGACTGGTTCACGCGGCGGAGGACTCTTTAGCGAAGGACGCGGGGATCAATTTTTGCGCGGCGTTCACGCAGCATCCCGCGATATCGCGGCTGCGTCGAACGTAACAGAAGGCGCCGGTAGATACGAGTGATCGATGGCGGTCCGGCGGAGCATCCGAATGAAAAACTGTCGCTTACCGTGCCAGGTAGGGTCCGACGTTTCCGTTGTCGAAGCTGGAACTGGCGTTGATATCCGTGTCCGGGATCGCCCCGGACTCCATGCCGAGCGGCGCGATGCATTGGGCTGCAACAAAACGTACACGTGGCTAAAGTCGCTGGGGTTAAAGCGACGAGCTCTCGAATTTATACCGCGCCTCTCCGGACGGGCATCGCCGGCCGGATCATAAACGGCTAAATGACCAGCTAACCGAGATGGATCCGCGCGATAGCCGGTTTACGCTCTCGGTGCACGGCTGCCTGTCGCGCGGGTGGAAGTTACGGTTCTCGAGTACCTGCGAGCGGAGAGGGGTAGAAAGGAAGGGGCCGCCTCGACATTCCAGTTATCTCCTGGGCCGATCTAATTGTTTCATAGATGAACGCAGCTGCCTCGCGAGGACCGTCCGTCAGCTCGGAACGGAATACTCTTCGCGTGCGAGATATAAGTAGATGCACGGAGACAATTTTTTCTTAAAATTTATCATGAAAATCGTGGGACAACACGGCATTTCGCACAATTTTATGAGAGTTATTGAAATTTTACACATTTCGCTAGTAAAATGTATTCTAAAATTTAAAAACAACTATCATACAGTTTTTTAAAATGCCGCATTGTCCCAAGATTATACGATTGTCACGGTAAATTTCAAAAGGAAGTTTTCTCCGTGACGCGAAATATTGATAAATATCAAGGGGGTAACCACTAGCTAAAATGTTGTCCCACCAATTACATGATTTCATTAGATTTCATACGATTTTATCTGATTACAAATAATTTCATCTAATTAAAATAGTTTTCTTATATGCACGTTTAAAAATAGACGACGTTGTTAAGAGCTGTTAGATTTCCTCAAAACATTATATCTTTTTGATTTTACTAATAAGCATTTGCTTATAGAGGTAATTTCAGTTAAAATTGCAGTATTCGGTTAGGCAGAAAACGTGTTTCCTTGCCTCCCACCAGTCTAACCGCGGTCTTAATGAGAAGTAATTTGGTATGTGTATTTGTATCTAACTGTTTATTGTTCTAAATTTGCACGCAAAGTTGTATCAACTCACTGTCCTAACAGCAACTACTTCAGTCTTATTATGAAAAAAATAATACGCGCTTATAAGCGTAAACTATGATATGTATTTGGATATTCACTAAAAGAAGTAAATTTTTTGAGAAAACAAGTTGAGGAAATGTTCAAATTTAATGTTTATTGTCTAACAAGTGAAGAAACTTGAAAATGAAGTCAAAACGATTACATGGAGATTTTGTAAGGACTAGAAATGACAAAACGCGCGCTTCGCGCGCGCAATTTGTGGGTGGGCATTGTATATTTTTAAGAATTTGTATACATATAAAGAAGTAATTGTATGCGCAACGTCAATTTAAAATAAAAAGTAATTTATCACTCACTGATACGATTCGCAACAGCAGAGTTGTACATCGTCAACTACATGTATATGTTAAATTGTAAAAATACAAATATGTATATTATTACAGATTAATTATGTAAAATCGAAATTATTGTATTAAATATACTTTATATTTTATATTTTTTAAAATAGATATTTATTAAAATAATTATATAGGATACCGAAAAAGTCTTTCCTTTAAATATAAACTTACAAAAACGTATGGTTTTGTCTCTAACACTTATTCGAATCCCCGTTCGAATCATTTGAATAAATAAAACAAAAACACAGAACAGATACTTTATTTTACACAAGTAGTAAGTAAGATAAAAATGTAAGACACTTACCTCACCATTTCTCCGCCGTTGCTCGATGCCTCCTAGGCTGCCTTCTCCTCTTAGATTTCTTTGTTGCACTCACACAACACTCACTCGCGAAAATCATCGATCGCGCGAAATTTCGAGCACTCCCGTACGCGATGTAAAATACCGCGAAACGCACGTTCGAGTTGCGAAGAACGACAGAGCGAATTACAGCGCAAACGCCGAAGTCGTAAAAATTTCCCTCGTTTCCCGAAAATGGAACAGATTACACGAAATCGACAGATAATTAAAAGCGCGTTGCATAAACGAGATGTAACCGCGACAAAGTACCACGATTTACATTCAAATTTTAGACGAGTTAGTCTCGTGAAATATGTATACGTTGATAAAGAGCCGTCGTCTCAACATGCAATCCGTTTCTCGTTACAAGTTGTCGAAACTTAGTAATTAGTCAAGGAACGTTACTTGTTACTAATAAAGGTGTGCAAATCAATAGTGTTTTATCCTTACATTTATCGCGATCGAGTGTTGGAAACCGAAAACGCAAAATTAATAAGCAAAAGTAATAACACGCACGGAGCGACTCTCGCTGCTGCCTGCCGGCACGACGGTCGGCGAGCGAGTGAGAACGCAGCGACCTTCAGATACACGATGGCACGCAAACATCGTACGTCACCGAGCCGAGAGAAAAACAACAACGAACGTTGAGAATTCGTTGTCTTTTTTGTTCCCTGACTGTTACTACGTTTTGTGTATAACGTCGATCACGTATCGCGTCCTCTTCGGGCGGCGACGAGAAGTGACGTAGGGAGCGCAAAACGTTACGCGTGTAACTTTTAGGCCCGGTCTACAATGAGTTGTGATTCGTTAATCAGACGTCGGAACTATATGTTGTTCCTTTTCCTTTCTAGGTGGAAGAAAAAGGTCCGTCATATAGTTCTGACTTCTGACTAACGACTAACGACTCATTGTATAGTAGACTGGGCCTAACACATCCGCGGTCGTAATAAATTCACTCGACTTTACAGACTCTCGTTGTCGTCGCGACTGCACGCTAATGAGGATCATAAAAGGCTCCGTCTTTCGGAGATTTAATACCCGAGAGGGGAGCTCTGTGTGTCGCGTGCGAGGATCGGTCAGCCCCCACGCGAGCACCGATGACAGGGCTGAGGGCCGTCGAGGAAACGATACCGTCTACTTTGCATACATTACTCTGGCCTCTCTGTGCATCCTCGAAAGGCGTCACTGCGGTCGGGCTCGGCCGTGCAATAAAATCCGAACAAAGTATGACGCGTGCACGCGCGCGCGCTCTCTCTCTTTCTCTCATCCGCGTCACGGCGGTGCCATTAGGGACGACAGTAAGGACCCGCGACATTTCGCGGTTTCTTGCTTTCAAGGCGTCATTAAAGCACCCACGCGTTATCGGCCGTTTTGTCTGTGGGAACGTATAATATCGCAGCGGGCAGCGAGCCCCACGACTATCCGACCGCGAGCGTATCGGTCGTTCACTCCGGCGCGGCGGACCGGATACGTTTCGTCGCGTATTACAAAGTCAAAGCTGGCGAGAGTCCACAGACGCGCGCGAGCGGACACGCTACGCGGGTCGGGTCCTTGTAATTCGACAAAGGAGCACGTATCGCAGCGTAACTAATCCGGATACGACAACTCCCCGACTACCTGGCCCGCCACGTTCGCGGCGCGCGGCGAGGCCTGGCGCGCGTGACGCAGCGCGGCATCGATTACGGTTTACCGGTTCGAGTAACGGTACCCATTACGCGATACGGAAATTGCTAAAATTTCAAGTAGCCCGAGCGGGGGTCCGGACGCGGTAGCGGGCAACGATAATGCCTAATGCCCGGATATCGAGTGCGGAGGCAGCGAGCGCGAGCCGCTGGGCGCACGGGGGAGTCGTCGGGGGATCGCCGGGGGTGGGACGCAGCTTCGTACCGGGGAGCGTAACGGAAGGAATCCGCGCTAAGCCAACAGAACAGAACGGGCATGTAGGTGGCCATTAATACTGGCGAAAGTTTGCCGGTGTTCTTCCGACGATACCGCACCCCTCGCCTCGTAATTCCGCGCGTCGGCCATTGTGAGATGTGTACTTTGGTCTTACGTTTTAATCCAACGTATATTTTATCGCCGAAACGGAATCTCCGTAAAGCGCGGACTCGCCGACGCGGCTTACGGATATAATGCTCGCAATTTGCGCGACACGCATTCTCCGTGATATACAATCGGTCTCTGCCCCCGAGTTTACAGCTGGCACAACTTGGGCGGACAATGTCATTTGCGGCCCGCGGCGGGGAGAGGCAGTCGGGAGCGATACCGGAGGAATATGTCTATCGGGGCGCGATGCGTCGCTGATGTGAGCCGCGCGCGTTTCGATCGCAATCGGCGGACGGAAAATTGCACGCCCACGAACGGCGGCGCGCGGCGCTCGTCGCGTCGGGCACCAATCGGATTGATCGCCGTTATTACTAACGGAGCTCTCCTCGTCATATCGCGATTCCGGCGCTCTAATATATGCATGCCCGTGTGACTTCCTCGGGCCGCGCCGCGTCGGCCGATTAGAATCGACGACGGGAGAGCCGAGTACGACAAAGGGAGGAAACGGCGATCGGCGCTCCGGACTCCGGTCGCTGCTATGTTATTAATGAAGGCCCTCCCGATATGTCCGCCGCTAATATATGTCCCCGGATTCCGCGGAGCGGGCCGGCATCGATAGCGGCGGAGTCCGCGTCTCGCGGCTCCGAGCGAGAACGCGAGGAGCATGTTCGAGATGGCCGCGCCGGCGATGGCGAACTCGGTATTATTATTAATGAAGGTCAGCCCGATGCACTGCCCGATCCCGTCGCTAATGTATGTCCGCGAATTCAGCGGGGGCAGAACGCGGGAGGGCGATTCGAATCAACGGTAGGAGAGTCGTGCCAACAAAAGGAGGGAACGCGCCGATCGAGATCTCCGGCTGGCCGACATGGCGAGAGCGAATCGCTATTATTATTAATGAAGGTCCCGGCCGATACATATCGCGCGTATCGCGCGCCCTCGCCGGAATTCTCACGACCGCCGCGCCGGTCCACGATCAAGTTTGACCGGCAGAATCCGTTTCCTTTGTCCGCGCCGTCCGGCCTGTAACGAGTCGCCGTGGGATATCGTGCTCGTAAATCGATCGTGAATAAGGGTGCATAAACGCGACACCCCTCGTGACTTTCTCGAGACGCGAGCACCTCCCTCTCCGTTAACCCTTTGAAGCACGGTGGTAACCCACGTTACCACCTCAACCTCTTTACTTTTTGGCCGTTTAATTTCTAGTTAACGCATTTAGGTCGGGTTTTTTGCATTTTTTTGGTATCTTAGCGATAAAAGAACATAAAAACAGTAGAGTAGTCTTTAATATTTATTGTAAAAGTTTTATGAATAAACAGATATGAAAGAACAGCAATTTTTTCGGAAAAATTCATTATTGACCAAGTTTTTCAAGATTATTTCTTGAAAACTTTGTACAAAGGGGTTTTCGGGGTCGCTCATTACGAATCTGATGTCAGATTTCGAAAACTCAAAATTTTTATAAAAATGATCAGATTTCAATTTTGCATCCGCCATTTCGCGCGTGCTATTTTTTGTATTCTATAAGAATTTTCAACTGGAATTTAGATTCCATGGGTCCTAATCATATCTAAATAGTGTTTCTTAGCGTAGTTAAATTACAGTTAAATGATGTTATTCTTTGAAGTTTTGAATTCCGCCATCTTGAATTATGAAAATCTAATAACGGATTCGTAATCAGCGATCCCAAAAACTCTTGTGTACAAAGTTTCACAAAAAATGGTTCAGTAGAAAACTGTATGCTTCAAAGGGTTAATCCTTGAGACGGGGTGCGGGACGCCTCGCATGATATTCCCACCCTTGGAGGACGTCCGGTAAAAGTCGCTCGTCGTTAACGGGACTTCGCTCGAGGAAAACATCGATTACTTTCCGGCTATTGACGCTAAGATAGATTACGAGGGAAGGGAGGAATTCGCTGAGGATGTTGTTTGGGAGGGCTCCGCGAGGGGCGCAATTATTAAGCTTTCCATTATCGCGGCTACGATGCAATTTTTCTCTCCTACGTCCGGAAATCTATTTCTATTAAGCCGCTCCTCGCGAACGGGGCTTCGGAACAGAGCGATTACTTATTATTAATACGATAAGATGGGCTACTTCGTACTATCCTGAACGTGGGATTTTCTTTATTCTCGTTCATTTTTTTAGAGGACTATTCTTTTCATTAAAGCATATAGGGTGTACTAAAGCCATCGGATATCCTTTTAATCACAGATTCTTAGAAAATTTCAAGACGACAATTCTAACACAACAATGTCGAGGCTACAATAGTTTTTAAATAATAAGTGATTGTATTTCACAAATGATAGACTTGAGATTTCGCGCGCTCAGGCACGGCGACGTGATAAGTGATAAAAGTGTTTCTATGAATGTCGCCCTTTTTATTTAATTCAAGTAAAAATTTGCAACATGTTGTAACCTCGAAGTGTTGCGGCTGTTAAAGTGGTCGATCAATATCAGTTACCACAAAAGTTATTACTATGATAAAAAGGGCGACATTCGTAGTAACATTTTTATCACTTGTCATGTCGCCGTGCCTGAGCGCGCAAAATCTCAGGCCCAGTATTTGTTAAATATAATCGCTTATTACTTAAAAACTATTACAGCCTCGACATTTTTGCATTAGAATTTTCGTCTTGAAATTTTCTAAAGAATTTATGATTAAAAGGATATCCGGTAGTTTTAGTACACTCTGTATACCGCTGATTGTGATTTATTAATTGTAATTGTAACAACATTGATTGAAGTTCTCAACCATGTATTAACTTTTACCTTGATCCGGACCTTTTTAGGTACAAAATGATATTAATAGTTAAAATGTTCGGGTCTCGCCCACTCGAAAGCCGCGAGACGTCGCTAAATATAGGCGCGCGCGACCCGAATGATGAGACGCAATGTCGCCAGATAGGTACGCAAGATACCTAATGACCACGGTCAAAGCCGATCCCGGATCGAAAGTTCGTCGACTGCGGCGCAAGTTCTGCGGGGTCGCGCAACCTCCGCGTCGTTAATAACTTATAAACGAAACAACCTGTGCGCGACTTGGAGCCAAGGAGCTATAGTCGAAGGAAGTTTCACGACGAGACGCGACGGGTACTATAAGGCCTGCGGATTAGAGCTTAGGAACTACTTACAGAGGTCCACGCCGTGGTAAGCGGGGGCGAGCGCGAGCAAAACGACGAAAAGGTGGACAGCAGGTGGTGCCCTTCTGGCAAGGAAACCCAAGCTTTTCACCATAGCTCCCTTTTCCTGCGAGGGCTTCACCCTCGCCCTTTCCTCACCGAGACTCCCGCCGTGCCATTTCTGCCTCGTCAACCTGAAACAAAAAAGAGCGCGATCGTTATGCCATGCCTGACGATCGCCGGGTTGAGTAGGCGTGCGACAAAGAGAGTCGTCTCCTCGACTGCTCCTGAAGAATGAATCCGCCCTGGCGGGGAAACGACGCGCGCAATTATCGCGCGAGAATGTTATTCTGAATGCTGCATTGAAATGTGGAAAACTCAAGTTCCGTGCTTTTGAAAATCGCAACTCGCAACTGTCGCGCACGAGGGAGACGTTGCAAAAATATTTTTATCCAGAAAAATTTATTCATTGGAATAAATAACGAAGGATATTTAGTTTTACTAAGAATTGTAGCGTACAACTATTTTACATATGTAATTGTCACATAATATTCCTATGGTTTATCAGTGGTTTCATATTATGAGTCTCGTAACAGTTGAATGCCGAGTTCATTTAGCCGTGTAATTTTCCAACTTAAAGGTTCGACCGTGCGGTATCGAAACTCCGCAGGGAATAATGCACGAATGACATTATGTCTTCATGCGATCTGCCTATAATCCCCGTTCAGTTTTCTGTCGATTATGCGCTGCACGTGGGACCGTTTCCTTCCTGTACGAACCGAGGGCGGAGCTAAACTTCCTGCGACTCCCATGTCATGTATTTTCCAGGAAGAAATGGCACGAGAATTGCGACGCGTGTCAGTTTTACATAAAGACGTCTTGTAAGACGTCGGTAATTTTTAACCCGCTTCGATCCCCGGGATCCGTGAGATCCAGTGCTCGTGAGCATAAATTTCGCGAGCAGAGATCGAGCTCGGGAAGGGATGGGGGAGGGAGCAGGGAGAGCAACGAGGAACGCACGAGAGTAGCGCGATAAGAGCTCGTTATTGGCTTACGAGCCTATCGGCCGATAATGCGTTACTCCCATTTTGCGCAAGCTCCGATACACGTCAGACATATGCGCGAGCGTGGCTCTCTCTTTCTCTCTCTCCCTCGAAATCGGTGAGAAAGGTGTCTCGAGTTTGATGGAGTATCCGTTGGTAATTGAGCCGACGGTGAATAAGTAATGCGCAAGAACGACAGTAAGAAGTCGTTCGGTTCGTAGGCCTCGCGTGCTCCGCATTAAACTTACATACCGCAGCTTATAGCCGCGATGATGCGAAATCTGTTCTGCGGCACGCGTCTCTCTCTCTCTCTCGTTATTTTTTAAATTTTACTTTTGTAATTATGCTATTTACATTATTCTTGTAATTCTCTCTTGTACTTTGTTTCTGTGCTTTAAGAGACTTGTCCCAAAGCGCTAATAAACTCTTTCTTTCTCTCTTTTGAAACAATAGATAAAGATTAGTAAAGAAAATTATATCAATATGGGATTAGGAAAATGGTCTTACAATTAGAATGGATAAAATTATATTATATTTAAAGAATAGAACGTAGCAGGTTCGATTTAATGATAAATGGTCTAACTTAGGAGGTTCCCTCAGCCATCCTTTTTACCGACACAATCAAATATAGTTTTTGCGCTTGTAATTCTTTTTACTAGCGCGCTTTTATGCACAAAATAATACCAGATTAAGTTGTGGACCCCATAGCAGAACATTTTCATTAAAGTGCGCATTTTGCAATTTTATAAAGGCAATTCGCAATTTATCCTGGTATTATTTTGTGCATAAAAGCGCCAACAAAATGTATTACAAGCGCAAAACTATATTTGACTGTGTCGGTAAAAAATATGACTAAGGGATCCTCACGGAGTACCGCAAAGATGTGTCTTAGGACCCCCGTTATTCACAGTACACAAAGATGACAATCAAAATTTGTCCAGGAGGATGCAATATAAAAATGTTTGCAGACGATACGTTAATATACGTGCAACTGAAGAAAATAGCGCGGAAATAGGGGTAGAAATTAATTCGGGATTTACTGAGTAGAAGAATGGATGAATAGAAATAGGTTAAAAATGAATGCAGAGAAACTAAAATATATGAGAGTTAAAAGCATAAGGAAGGAACTAAAGAATAATATTACTAAAGTGTTTGAACGGAACTAAAATGGAGTAATAAAATATCTAGGCATAATGATCGATGATGGATTAACATTTAAGGATCACCGTGGTTATACGCTAAAGAAAGTAGGGAACAAAACGAGTTGTCTCAATATAATAACAGGTAATTTTATATCAGCGTACACCAGACGCTATATATGTGTAAGACAATCATAGTCTCACTTCGAGCATTATGCAACGCTATTAATCAGCATGGGGGAGACACAATTAAGTAAATTGCAAAAAGTACAAAGTAGAGTCATGGGAAAAATATTACAATGGGAGAAATATGATACACGCACCAAAGTGGAGAGCGTGCTGCAAGCGCTGCAGTTTATGTCCATAAGACAGAGGCTACACTATAATGCGTATACATTTATTTCGAGATCTTTTAAGATCTAAAGAACATGCTAGCGGGAATGCAATTAAGAAATAGATTAAAAATAGTGGGGGGAATGTTGGTGAAAGAAAAACGCGACAAACCGAGGACATTGTAATGCGATTCCGCCGAACGACGAGTGCGCAAGAGTGTAAATTGTATGAAGAAGTGAAAACGTGTAACGCATTGCCAGCTGAGGTAACGAGTTATGAGGGGAGTAAGCCGTTTAAACGAATGTCGAAAGGGCGTATTAACAATGTAATAAAATCTGTACTACAAATAGCCAAGAAAATTGGAAAGATCAATCGATCGATTCTCTCTTTCTCACTTATCGTAGAACCGGTGGAGCGTCACTCCTCTTGCAAAATCTTTCTCAGCTGCATGATCGCAGTACTTATCGTATGTTTTATTTGACTTCAAAACGACCACGTGTGATGTATAATATTATGCTCGCAGCGTGTATCAATGGCGATTATATCAATGAGTTTATCTTCTGTAATCGAGCAACGGAATATTTATGAGGCAAACGAGTCGCGTCCGAGTACTTTTTGCACGCGGGAATTAATCCCTCCCTATTGCGAGAAGGATAATTAAATTAACCGCGACCCAGTCACAAGCAAACAATCTTTCTTCTCCGTTATTTAATTTGTGGAAACGTATATCTGATACTAATATACGGAACGACGACGAGGATTAATGGGGGTTGAAACATGGTGAGAGAATAGGTATATTTTTCCTGGCGCACAATTGACGGAGTAAGAAACCGCGGTAACCGAAGAATGAAGTGAAGTGATACAGCGAGCTTCTCAACGGGCATAATTATTGCCGCGACATTTGATTAAGCGCAGCGGTACACAATGAGACTCGCCGATTGGCGAAACGCCACGACGAAACGTTCCTTCGCTCGCGTAAACATTTAATCTCCCTAAGCACCGAGTGTTAAATTAGAAATTATCGGAAAACGGTATCGTTTATACGCCGAGTCGCCATAAAAGCTTTATCTCCTGATTGTATTCATGAGGGACTTAACGCTCGCGACGCGCACTCCGTCGAAATCAATTCCCCGGACGCGGTAAGCACTCCGGCGGCCACAAAATTATTCATCGATTGTTTTCTTTTCATCTCGCGGACTGCGGCGGGGACAGATTATCGCGCGATCGTTTCAGGCAGGTGCCATTTTCGCGTCGTCGCCGTCCTCTTGGATGGCCGGCCAGCGTCGTCTACCACTCGGAAAACGGGGATTTCGCAATTATTATGCCGTCGACGCGACGAAGGAGATTCCGTTTACGATCGGTATCGTTTACGATACACACACACACACGCACGCACGCACACACACACGTGTATCTATATATTTATGCGCTCACACCACGGTTCGCACGCGGACGGCATGCGCCCGCACGCGTGTGCGCGTATAGGAGGTCGTTTAAGCCGCGATGTAAGCCGCGGAGGCTTCGCGTGATATCCTAGTTCAACGTCGAATCTCTTCGTTTGCATAGGAATGAGTTTATGCAGATTAATACACGCGAGACGTCCGTGTAGGGTACGCCACGTGGGATGTAGCCGCGGCACCTACACGGGGCTGCGAGTGTACATGCATATTTTATTGGCGGCATCGGCGCTTACGGATTTCCGCGCAAACGCGCGCCACACACGACGCGACTCGCCATTCGCGCGAATCTCCGTTACCCACGTCGACTCGATTTAATCGAATGTTACTCAATATCGTTTCATTTACCTCTAACGCCGATAGAAACGCAAGACGCTATGACGAGGGTCGTCTCGTATTGCCGAGCGGTTATTAATTTTATTTCCAATAGCCGCAGCGCTCCGAGATGTCTCTCCTAAACAGTTTCGCAATTTCTATCTGTAACTAATTCGATCTATTATTTATCGACTTACGAGACAAATTTTTATCGAAGAGTAATGCCGCAGGGTGTCTCCGAGAGATAATTTACCTCGTAGCATGGTATTTAAAGGGATGCTGGACTGATTCTGCACCTTTTGCACTTTTTCATCTAGAACTGTAAATTCATGACATTTGCGTAATATATTATACAAATCACGTGACTTTTGTGTACAGACAGACAATGTTCCACTATTCGGACTAGATCAGAGAACAGCATGGTGTCATTGAAATTAAGTTTAGAAGCCTAAGAAAAAATCTACTCCCAATTATCCAACCTATAACTTATTCGAGTGAATAAATTTTTTGTTAGACTTCTAAACTCAATTTTAATGATACCATGCTGTTCTCTGATCTAGTACGAATAGTGGTTACCTAACATATAACTTATTCGAGTGAATAGATGTTTTGCTAGGCTCCTAAACTTAATTTTGATGATACCATGCCGTTCTCTGATTTAGTCCAAATAGTGGAACACTGTCGGTCTGTACACAGATGTCTTCGTCAATCGACAGTTCTAGGAGCAAAAGGTGCAAAAAAAGTGAAGAATCACTTCCAGCATCCCCTTAATTGCCGCGTGAAGAAGCGTCATCCGTATGACGCGCGACCGAACTTGAGATGCATCGCTATTAAATAGCAGGAGAGTTTACCGAGATACCGGTACCTTTTTCCTGTTGGGAGCTCTCTGAGAGAAATCGCTCCCGAC